GCAATTCCAAATCTTAAAAGAAGGACTGCAAAGGCCTGAGTAGCTCTCTGTTGGCTACTCTCCCCTGTCAGGGTGTAGAGCTATCACATATACCAAAAGAACCCATCGGAATGGGACAATGCAGGGTTTTGGTAATATATCATCTCTTTCCAAGGCTGAGTTTTGTGTGGTTGGGTAGGATAGAAGCAAAACCAATCCATCTGATTAACAATTCATTGTTCTGAGAAGGCCCCTCCAGTAGGGGATACTTTCCATGCCTCTCATCATTATGCAATTCAATCATACTGAAAACTCGGAACCTGCATAATTTTAACAATGCAATATAGACAGATATTTTCAACAATAAAGAGGCGAGTCTTCTTTTCTTTTGGGTCGTTAAAGACACATACTAACACTGTTTGATAAAGAGCCCATCACAAGTGTTAGGTGTAGAAAGGAAAAAGCTTAAATGTTTGTACATCTTTTACCAACTTTCTGTACTCACAATCTTTTTCGGTCTCCCAAGGAAACCCCAGCACACCTGTGTTCCATAAAATAGCAGCTCTCACCCAGCAGGTACGTTGAGAGAAAGGAATCTGTCAAGACACTAATAACAGTCCTGACAAGGCAGGGATGAGAGGCTGTCAGTGCCATAAGAAATACTGTTTCCAGGAAATTAAAAGTATTCCATAGTGCACGTAGTGTACATCTGTTTATGCTCTTGTTTCCTCCACTGGCAATTGCTCCTGTCAATCCATGAATTCTGTACTATGAATGAAATAGCAAATTGCTTCAGTAGTACACAGTCCCAGCTGGATGGTAAACCAGCAGTATGGTGATATTAAACTTGAGCTTACATACTCTTGCTTCACACTTCTTTGAGCTGAAAATAAAATAAGGTAATCTCAACAACAACAACAAAAAGAGACAAGTAGTACTTGAGAGAAAAGTGAAAAAAGTAAAAGTCATTTGCCTGATTTTGTGTGTGCATGTGTCTGTCTGTGTGTGCATCTGTGTGTGTTTGAAAGCAGGTGGGGAGTTTATGGAAAAAAAATACTGAGTATCATGATCTACCTTTTACACCAAAGACCCACCAGCTAACAAAGATCAAGGGAATAGGCAGGAAGAAACAGAGATGGCATAGTTGGTAGGAGGTCAGAGGCAAGGGAAACACCATAGACACTTACGCATGCTGCACCTTCTCTGGCAGACAGGTGCCATCAGTTACTAAAACTGTCATTATGTATTGGAGAATATTAACTGACCACCAAAGTCAGTCTTCCCCTTCTTTCATTGTAGCTGAACACACAGTTGTTCAGCAGAGAACTTCATTTCACAGCCTCCTGGGCAGCTAGAGGTGGCCAAGTGACTAAATCCTCACCAGTGGAACATGAGGGAAGTAATAAATCCCGCTTTCTGGTCTGTGCACTCCTCTGGCTGTGCTCGATCTTCTCACAAGCTGCAATGCCGACACACTCATGACCAGCATGAACTTGCTGAGAGGCTCACACACTGAGGGAGGCAGGAACAGAGATGGAAGGAATCTGTGATCCTGAATGGCCACATGGAGCAAAGCTAATCTGAACTAAGAAAAATACTTTTCTGTGTATTTTGGAGATTATGTTTTGGGGCCTCTTTGCAACTAACTTAACTTTCAACTTAATATACATTATAACATTTCGAAATTAAGGTCTGAGAATGGAACTAAAATGCCCTCAGATTATAGTTGTTTTCTCTGTTTAATATCAATCTTCCTAGATTTCCAGAAGCATTCAGCTTTAAAGGCAATAATACAATGATTATTTCCTGAAATTTCACACAAGACAACTTTATTTATTTAAAAGAAGGAATATTACATTTTTAAAAAATCCTAAATTGATCAAAAGTAGAATAATCCTTGAAAAATTGTAACTATCAAACTTGTGTTAGCCACAGCTGTGTTCAGCCACCATAGCCACAGGTGAAAGCATAGGTACTGTTTGGGGTTAAATTGTTGCCCCCCAAATTCATACAGTGATGTCCTAACTCTCAACGTCTCAGCGTGGCTGTTGGAGATGGGTCTTTGAAGAAAAGTAAGGTTTGCCGAGGCAGACAGATCACTTGAGCTCAGGAGTTCGAGACCAGCCTGGACAACATGGTAAAACCCCGTCTCTACTAAAAATACAAAAATTAGCCAGGCATGGTGGTGTGCACCTGTAGTCCCAGCTACTCAGGAGGCTGAGGCAGGAGAGTCACTCGAACCTGGAAGGTAGAGGCTGCAGTGAGCTGAGATTGCATCACTGCACTCCAGCCTTGGTGACAGAGTAAGACTCCATTTAAAAAAGAAATGGAATTATAAGGTTAAATGAAGTCATAATCCACGACAATGATGTCATAAGAAGAGGACATTAGGACACAACAACACAGACTGAGGGACAACCTTGCGAGGACAGGAGAAGACGGCATCTACAAGCCAAGGAGACAGGCCGCAGATGGACTCGGTCCTGCCAACATCTTGAGCCCAGACTTCTATCCTTCAGAATTGTGAGAAAATAAATTTCTGTTGTTTCAGCCCACATGCTATGGTTCTTTGTGCAACTGCCTGAGTAAACAAATACAAATAATAAATGTTAAGCACTTTTCTTTTGTATCAGAACCAAGGAGGGATTTTCTGGGTTGGTTCTCTGACAAAAAAGAAAGGAAGAAAGGGAAAGAAAGGGAGTGAGGGAGGAAGGAAGGAAGGAAGGAAGGAATTATTTCTAGCAATTAAAATATTTCGGTGTTTGCAAGTCCCATGCTTTGACTATATTTAAATTTTCAATAATTTTACTTCCTTTCCCAAAATAAGTTTGGACCCATGCCTCACATCATCTTCAAAATAAACTCCAAATAGATTAAAGACTTAAATGTAACAGGTAAAAAGTTAATAAAATAAAATGCAGTCTGTGAGTTGACAAAGATATTTTGAATATGAAGCTAAATCCTCAAATCACAGTGTCAAAATTAGATGGGTTTAACTTCATCAAAATGAGAGACTGTGGTTCAATAAATGATATCCTAGAAAACACGAACAGACTAAAGAAAGTATCAGCAATAATTAAAGTGAAAGATTGATATACAGAATATACCCCCCACACATACACACACGAAAAGAAATGAAAGTCCCACAAATCAACAGGAAAATAATGCAATAACTAATAGAAAAATACATAAAGGATACAAACAGGTTAAGCCCAATTGTCTAACATGTACCTGAAGAAAAGTTCAACACCATTAGCCACAGAAGAACTAAAAGATTAAACGTCAATGAGATTCTATATTATTCATTAGAATGGCAAAAATTAGAGCACTAGATAATATCAAGTGTTGGAGAGGAGATGAAAATGATAGAAACACCTGATATGTTGGAGCAAATACTCTTGGAGTGAACAATACTGTTGGAGGAAATATAAATTAGTCCAGTGGTTTTGGAAAGCAATCTAACAATACTGGGGAAATTAAGCACAAAATCTCATATGACCCAGCAGTTGACTGCTGGGTGTATGACTCAGGGATACTCACACAGATTCATAAAAGAATATGTTCAAAGAATTTTATTTGTAGTATGGAAGTTAGAAACAATTTCCATCATTAGGGGAAAGGATTAGTAAAATAAGATAGAGGCATACTATGAAAATATACAAAATATACAAGGTCATCCTGCCTTGCATAACAACAGTGATATTTAATTGCTTAAAGACTGTGAGTGGGATATATGGATAATAAGACTTTAATCATTAAAGAAAAATAATTGATAAAATATCTCTCCTTTTCCTTTTCTCTCTTGTGAGTTGCTCCTTCAGACACCCATCTTTTAAAACACGAGGGTTATCCATTTTAAGATTAACTATGGGCATCTGCTAAATCTTCATGAATTTGATGAGGGAAAGAAAGGAACTAAGTTTCCTAAAAGGGCAACTATTTTAAAAGTTTGTCCTTCTGAGGCTGTCATCCCAAACCTTACTCCTACTCCCTCCCCACACCCAGGTTTGAGGACGGATTAGGAACAAGGTTTGGGATGACAGCCTCAGAAGGACAAACTTTATGCCAAGGTGGGAGGGAGTGGGGGTGAAGATTGAGCTTCTCCATTTGGAGGTCTGAAGCTAGGACCCTTCACTGAAACAGGATTAAAGAAAAAAGAGAGTGAGGCTGACTTTTTAACTGAACTCGAAAGTTCTCTGAGCAATAGAATGGGCCTAATATGTACCAGATGAGATTTAAGTCTAAATGGAAGAAAAATGTTTCGGATAGCTGGGACTGTTAGACATTTAAATGAAATGTTGTGATCTCCTGCTTTTCGGGTCTTCGGTATTTTTTAAAGAGTTTTGTTATCCAATATTACAGTCCAGCTTAGGCTAAGGAGCAGAAGAGCTGTAATTTGTGTTTTCATGTGTTTTCCCAGAAGTGTTCTCAATTGCTATTTAAAATCTTGTCCTTCGGGCATTCTTACGGCCTCCGTGTGCCGCTGAGGGATAAGACATATTACCCTCTCATCAATATATCCTGAGGTTTTTTTTTGTTGATAACGATGGTGGTGTTTTGCTTTTTTAAGAAATGAAGGAAAAAGTGTGTCAAGTCCCTGGAGAGACATTATGCCCCGACCCCCGCCAATATTATCTATTCCGAACAGCAGAAATACAAACATGTTCAAATGTAAAAGCGGTCTTTTTCTTCTCCAGATTAAAAAAAAAAAAAAAAAAAAAAAAAAAAAAAAAAAAAAAAAAAAAAGTCTACTTCTTATGACCCTGGACTTAAATTGACTTCTTCATAATAAGAAAAATTAAAGAAAAGAAGGAAATAGTGGTCACATCTCAACGTTATTCTAGGGCCTCACTTCTGACACCCAGGAATTCAAATACCCTGCGTTATCCTTTAGAAATTGAACTCCTGTCTCTTTAACAAACCGTGTGCGAGAAGGGGGCGGGTCTCGGCAGCGGCGAAGGCTCTGATTGGTCTAGCTGGCAGGAAGTGGGCGGTGAAAGAGCCGCTTCTGTTATTGTCCGGGGCTGCAGGGTGAGAGGCCAGGGCCGAGAAGGGCTTCGGGACGCGGGAAGCGCCCTTGCTTCAAATCGCGGGCGGGCGTGGGAACGGGGTTGCAAAACGGGTCCCTTTCATTCGGGTGGGTTAAGGGCCCTGGCAGCCTTTTCGCGAAGGCTCCACGCCGGAGCAGCTGGGCCGCAGTGGGCCCGAGGTCCACTCGGACCGCCGAGACGGCTCGAAGGCCCGGGAGCTGGAGGAAAGGGGATACCTGGGCGCCGGCCGCCGCCCTCTCCACTCGGCCGACGCCCCTTTCTCAACGCAGTTTCTCTTTTTCCCCTGTTCTGCAGGCTCGCTTCCGGCGTCATGGCTCAAAGGGCCTTTCCGAACCCTTACGCCGATTATAACAAATCCCTGGCTGAAGGCTACTTTGATGCTGCCGGGAGGGTGAGTTTGGGATATGTCTGCCTGCAACCCTGCCTCTACCCACAGTGTTCGGAAAGGAGCTCGTTTTTCCCTAAAAGAAAAAGTTGAGCATCCCCCTTTAAAAAATACATGATTCGACGATAGATATGTTAATTATTTGAAAATACATGTTAATATATACAATTTGAGCTCTAACATAATATTGAATATGTCATTGTTAACATTAATTGAAATAAGCTCAATCATCGATAGTATAAATTTTAAAAATTGCCAAATACGTAGTTTACTATGTAATTCGCATTTTTTATGTGTTTTGGTTTGCTTCTTAAAAGAGAGAGAGGAATCCTAACAGTATTCACCTGTGCCGTGTTATTCCTTTATTATACACAAGTGTGGTCAAGGTAATGATGAGGGCAAACTGGTGTGTGGCAAGGACATCTTTAAGTGGTTAATGCTAAGATAATTTGGGGACATAAGAAACCCGAAGTTCTTTGTACCAGTGTCACTCCACAGGACATACACATAGCTGGGGGGGGAAAAAAAAAAAAAAAAAAAAAAAAAAAAAAAAAAAAAACTTGTACATTAAACTGGTTAGCATGTTACAAATCACTGTGCATGAAAGAACCTAGATGTGAGATACTAGGGGCCTGTGTTTTTCCATGCCTCTTTGGGTGAACATAATTGTTAAGAGGTAATACGGATATTTTTAAGAATACCTAGTTTTGGCTGGGTGCAGTGGCTAACACCATTAATCCTGACACTTTGGGAAGTCAAGGCAGGAGGATTTCTTGAGGCCAGGAGTTTGAGACCAGCCTGTGCAACATAGCAGGACCTTGTCTCTACTAAAACATTTTTTTTAAAATTAGCCAGGTGTGGTGGAAAGCTTGTAGTCCCAGCCACTTGGGAGGCTGAGACAGGAGAACTGCTGGAGTCCAGGATATTCGAGGTCATAGTGAGCTATGATTGCGCTACCGCACTCCAGCCTGGATGACAGAGACCTTGCCTCTAAAAAATAAAGCTTAGTTTTGAGAATGAGTTAAGTTGGAAACAGAGCACACACTTTAAATATTTTACTAGTTTATTTCTTTGAAACTCGTCAGCCATACACAAAAGGCATTTTATGTGATATAATGGCCTTACAGATTTCATACCTGTCAAGTTCATCTGTGGTTCTAATGATTCTGTGTTTTTTTCCTTAAAACACTTGTCACATTATAGATTAACTTGGGTCAGTAATGCAGGTAGGAGGGACGAAAGAAATGAAGAGGTGTAGGATAGAGGGCTACCAAAATGTATATGGAGTTTGAGTCAATCTGATTATTCTAAGACTAGTATTAAGCTGCCCAAAGCAAGCTTTTTATAATTATCTTCAGGTCAGATGGATTCCATTTGGCCATTTGGGCCTGCATGCTGCCTAGCTGTGCAGATTCTCAAGCTGAAGTATATGTCTTGTCTTGCTGGAGGAGGACTTGCTGCTTCATGCTGACTTGGCAAAGAAGGCACTTGAGGTTGTGTCCTAGTGACAGAAACCTTCAATAAAATGTAGCTGTTTAGGCTGCCTTTAAAATAAATGCTTTTTATGAATTTAACCCTTTATTTCCAAGGGAAAAAATTCCCAAATTTAAACCCTGACCCGAGAGTAATAATGTAATTTATTGCCTAATGTAGCTTTTGGACAGATCCTAGAAAAATTGTAGCATACTAGTTCTAAAATTGTGTAAGATTGAACACAGGATCAAACCCTGGAGATCTGTCCTCCTTAATTTGTTAACACAAGATTTCAATAAGGAACTGGTCTGTTTTCTGGCATCTGTCAGAAAAAAAAAAAAAAGGACTTTTAGAGACTTCAAATTATTGCTAAAGTTTGAATAATTTGGTGGTCTACCACAGGCAATCTATATTCTCACCGAGGTCACCTTTATTAAATGCGGAATGTGCCAGACAGAAAATAACTTCCCTTCATGAGGCTGAGACATTCTCAGTATTCTTGATCTCTTAGAAGGCCAGGCAAGATTATAAATTATATATCATCTATATACAGTAAATGATGTGTTCTCAATGTAGATGCACTCTTCTATTTATTTGAGGTTTATAGACCGTTTATGTTAATGTTGAAGTATATTTTATCCTACTAAATGTATTTTTAAGTCTGGTTGAAATCTTAACCTCTTTGCAGAAACTGTTAAATAATAGGAGTGTATGTGTCAAACAATGTAGTTTCTTCTAAAGAGTGTGAAATAAGAGATCATTTAGATTAAATAATTCAGATGTGGTCAAAAGTCTGATTTGCCATATCAAGAATACTCCTCAGCAATGAATCTTAATGTATTTTTAAACTGTTGTTGTTAATTCTGATACTGCCTTCTTGCTGTTTTCAGTGTTAAGATTTTATCCCATTTAAAAAAATGAGATTCTGATGTGAGTGGTTAGGTTTATTTCTCTGATCCTCATATGGTAAAATAAAAGGTTTATATACCCTTGTAACATTTTCCCAGATTGTTCCAAAATTTTATTGGTTTGTGAAATTCAAGTCTTAGAATCACAGCAAGTTCTTAAAATGATTGAGGGATGCATTAAAGTGACTTTTTTAAAGACACTGATTCAGTATATGCGGAAGTTTAAAATTATTTTTCAGTTGCCTTTAGGAAGAATAACATAATGGTGCTGTTTGCACAGCATCTGTGGGCCTTCATATAGGTGTTACTAACTCCAGAGCCCCAGCTTTAGTGGACTTTCAATCCTTAGCTAAACTATTACTTGCCCTAGACCCTTGATCTGCTAAAGAACTAGTAAAAATTAGTCTGAATAAGAAAGACTTATGGTACACTGTCTCATTTAATCCTCAAAGTACCTTTTGAAATTGGCGGGGCTGGTGTTATTATCCTGACTTCATGTAGGTAGTTGAAACGAAGTTACGAGTTGAGCAAGATCATTCAGCTAATAGTGGGTAAGGATGTAGACAGACTCATTCATTGAAAAATGTTGTAAAGTCCCAATTCTCTGCCAGACACTGTGCAGGACATGGGTTTATGATGCTAAGTTTGATATTCTTTCTATTCTGCTTGAGGCTCTTGATATACATGAATTTGTTTTGCCTTGCTTATGCCACTTCATTTTTTTAAATATATTTTTTTTAAATAACAAGAGCAATTTGATGTTTCTTTAGGTAATTTACCTTGCTGCAGCTTGAATACTAAAAATACAGTAGCTTGAAAGCAGCAAACATCTGATTTGTGCTTAATTTAATAAAATGACTTATAATAAATATTGGTTTAAATAATAGGCAGTTACTATTAGGTGGAAAATTACTGTGAGCTAGTTTATCTTTGGCCTTCTGTTTCAGTATTTAAAAATTTTATGTAAAACATAACTTTCAACAATATTTTATAAAATCTGTTAACATAATACTGTTGTTGTTTAAGAATAGATAATAAATTGTCCTGTCTCCCAGGTAGAAAAGTATATCCTAAGTGGAAAAGAAATACCTTCCTGTCTTTGATAGCTTATAGTTCAGCAAACTGGGTAATCCACATTATTTTTATATTTGTTTTCCTTTAATATCTAGCTAACTCCTGAGTTCTCACAACGCTTGACCAATAAAATTCGGGAGCTTCTTCAGCAAATGGAGAGAGGCCTGAAATCAGCAGACCCTCGAGATGGCACCGGTTATACTGGCTGGGCAGGTATGAAGTGCTGACTGTGAGCTGGCGTAAGCATTGTGCATAAGAGCCAGAGCATTTTTCCAAGAACTGTCTGTCTGAATGGTCCACCCTTAAATGCTTCCTGCATCTGCATATGAGTAATTGCTTTTGGGAGAGTGCTGTGCTCTCAACCCAACCACAGTATTATCTGGGTTTTTAATAGTGTCCTGAATTTAGGGCATGGTAAGCATATTCATGTAATTCATGGCTGACATTTGGTATGGCTGCTATACTTGTGAGGAGAAAAATTGATTTTCAGTATTACATAATTAATTTGGAGATGTAATTTCAGTCTGAAGAATTGGAAAGAGTTTCAAAATACAGTGCCTGAAGGAGAGGTAATGAGGGTTGATATCAGGAATAAAACATGTCCGGAAGCATCATTTTTTAAAGTTAACCCTTAACAGGAATACAGGGTTACGTATTCATTCCATGAACTAATCCTCCTATATGGTCCTTGCTGGTTGGTTTGCATTTGCTGTATTTCCAGTTTCAATCATTGAGAGGTTGGAAGAGGTTTAGGAAGAAACAGTGCATTGATAACAAAAAAGGTGAGAAAGAGAAAAATCAAAGAAAAAAAGTTGAAGAACTGCAATTAATTTACCAAATGTAGAAAAACAAAAAGACAGCTGTATAATCTTGAAGAAAGCATAGTCTAGAAACTCTGTTTTCCATTCCCTTTAAAGAATGGGCAGGGAGGAATAAGCTTGCAATTCAAGAAATTTGAATTTGATTTTAAGACAGTGGAATTTATTATAAAAATGGCTTCATAGCAGAGATTCTGATTCTGGAAAACTTGAACAGAACCTAGGAATTTGCCTTTTATAAGCCTCAGTGGTCCAGTTACAGGTGGTCATCTATGGACTGCAGTTTGAAAGCTTCTTTATATGAGAAATTTGTTATTAATAATAGCAGTCTTTTAGCCATCCTCTTTAGTACAGGTTGAGCATCCCAAATCTGAACATCTGAAATCCAAAATTTGAAGATTTTTGAGCTGTGATGTGACACTCAAAGGAAATGTTCATTGAGTATTTAGGATTTCAGATGTTCACATATTGGATGCTCAGTTGGTAAATACAAGGCAAATATTTCAAAATTTGAAATCCAAAACACTTGTCCCAAGCATTTCAGATAATGACAAGTGATTCTATTTTTTTTTTTTTTAAACAAGGATAGGGAAGGCAGATTAAATCAGTAAAATTACAATCTCAGGGACTTTTAAAGTAAATGTTTTGTAAAAATAAGCCTGGACTATATAATGTTGGACCATCCCTTTTATTATGATTTTTATGGATTGTAGAAGCTTAACACAAGAATGAAATGAAAGGATTTTCTTTCAGGAAGGAAGGTATAGCACCTGTCATTTATTAGCTACTGTGTTCAGGTGTGATGTGGTTGATAGATAATGTCATCAATGAATGTTGAACATTACTATTTATTAAATATCAGTTTGAACAAAACAGGACAAGCACCGTGCACAATCGTCTTGAGTTTTCCTCTTGATTGCCACATTGTAGTAATATATAAGGCTCAAACTTACAGATGTTTTTCTAATATGTATGGAGTTTCTATTATTTTGTTACTCCTGGAAAATAAAAAAACTGAAACAGATTGTTAGTTAATTCTAGCACTGATTACAAAAGAATGACTTAAACTTTTAAATTGGCCATTCAGGTGAACTCATTATTGTGAGATACTTTGCTTTAGGGGGGAAATATGGGGATTGTTTTCAAGTTTGAATTAAGTTTGACAATGTTGGGAAGAGTCATTAGTCAGACACTTATATTGCTAGGGCTAGTTGAGAAACCAAAAGTTAAAAACTTTGGAAATAGCAAAGAAATTTCACTCCAAAGTAAGATGCAAGTGTGTTTAATTTTTTTGGCTATATGAAGTTTCTGGCTTCATCTCCTTTGAATGCCAATATCCTTCAACCTTTTATCCTCAGGTATCTATGATACTCATTGCTGGCTCCTGAAAGCAGCTTATATGGCAAGCATCTGAGGCAAATTGGCATGCTAAGCACTTTATGATGTCTTTAGTGGCTGGTTGTTTTAGGATGTGGCGTAAAATCTTGTAGATAAATTTGCTAATGGTTTTCAAGGCAAAGCTCCTAATGTCTTCTAATCAAACACTGTTGAAAAGCCATTATTCCCACATAAAATAGACTGTCTACTCCAGTGTTTTGATAAGTAAAATACTGCCCTGTGCCATTGTTCAATCTGAATAACATAAAACTTGGAGTTGTATAAGAAACTAAAACTAATTCAACCCCATAAAATCACAGTGTTAATACCTTCTCCTCCTATTATGTTATAACTTACCAAGTATCATTTATTGCTAACTGCAATTTTATTACAAAGCAATACATTCACAAACACAATAAAAATATTTGGTGTTGTATGTCAAAGCAATGTTTATATAATTATGTGTAGATTTTTATGTTCCTTTGTGCCCCATATTATCTTTCAAAAAATGATATTCTTTAGGAAACACGTATTATATTTATTTAACTTTGTTCAGCATGAGAAAACTGCATGGTTATTACAATTAGTTAGAACTTTAACATCTTATTTTGTTACATGTCATTACCCACTATAAGTATGGGCTTGATAGCTAACACTGGTTAGATAGGATTAGGATTTGGGACAGGATTAGGTTCAGCTGTCTATTCCCCAAAAAAGAAAACAAAAGTATAGTGGTTTAAATAATATAGTGCATTTTTCTCTTGTAAAAGAAGGCCAGAAAGTGTTAGTCAGTCCAGGCCTGATACTGTAGCTTCAGGATATTAATTGGAACTCAAGCTCCTTTCTTTCTGCACCATCATTCTTCAGCTTCTAGCTTCTACCTCTTGCTCAAGATGGCTGCTGAAGATCCAGTCATTACATCAGCTTTTCAGGCTGCCAGACGAAGAGGCAAAGAAGAATGCATTAACGCATTCTCTCTCTTTAAAAAGCCTTCCTGGAAGTCCTAGTCAGCATTTCAGTTGTGCTTACTTTGCTTTGGCTAGAACACAGTCACATAGTCACTCCTGTTAGCAAGGAAGGATGGTAAATGCAGTCTTTTAGCCCGGGTTCTGCTAATAGAGGAAGTGAACTTTGGGATAAGACCTAGTAATCTCTGCTATAACTTCTATATAACAAGAAAAATGATTTTTTTGTTGACTCTTGTATTTTGCACAGGAAGTCTCAGTTTTTATGTTTGCTAAAAGATCTGTTCACTTTGGGGGAGATTTTCTAAGGATAAATTTACCAGTGTCTATAAAATATTTTGAAATTTGCCAAGCAATATTTTGTCTGTTTGTTTCCAAGGAGATTGATTTGGATTTTGATTCGCAACACCTTTACTCTTTTAATTTTTTTAATTCAATAAGTAAAGTCTTTGCATAAAGCCTGACACAGAAAGGAAGTAGGAATGCCAAATCATAAATAATTTTCTTAGAGCTAAGTTTAACATAAGTCTACAAGGGACTAAAATTGATTCTAAACTTAATACTGTAAAACATTACTATTTTTGTAGTTTTATTAAAGTTATTTGCCATTCTCTTCTGCTTTCTCCTAAACTTTTATTTTCTGTTGCAGAATTATAAAGTTCCTAATTTGTACCATGCATCAGTTCCTACTAAACCCCATAATTGTATGTCTTTATTTCTACTTCACGACTCTAAAGAAAGCTACAAAACAGGGGTGCCCAACTTCTTAATACCTCATTCATGGTATGTCTAGATTTGTCTCAGTTGCTCAGTTGATTGAAAGTAAAAGAGTTCTAGTGAAGAGACGACACACTCGTGTGTTTAGTGTTATATGTATATGTATATGAACAATGTACGATTTAAGGGCACAGGCCCCAGACACAGTCAAAAATTGATGTACTGTATAACTTTTCTCTCACCCCCAAAACTTAACTACTAATAGCTTGCTGTTGAGGAGTCTTACTGAGAACATATATAGTTGATTAACATCTATTTTTTTGTGCTACATTTAATACGTACCATATTTTTACAATAAAGTAAGGTAGAAAAAAGAAAATGTTAATAAGAAAAATCATAAGAAAGGGAAAATATATTTATTCCTGAGTGGAAGTGGATCATTATAAAGGTCTTCGTCCTCATTTTCTTCATGTTGAGTAGGCTGAGGAAAAGGAGGAAAAGAAAGGGTTGGTCTTGCTCTCAGGGGTGGCAGAGGCAGAGGAAGTGAAGGTAGGTGGAAGGAAAGGCAGGAGAGGCAGGAATGCTTGTTGTAACTTTGCAGAAATACATCGTAATTTCTGTCTGATATTTTTGCTTTTTCATTTCTCTAAAAATATCTCTGTACATTGCCAGTTCTTACACCATTTGCTTTGGTGTCAGTGCCCATAGCACATATGAATATATGTCAGAAAAGAAGTCAAAAGCAGTATTGAATAATCAAACCCATTTGCCAGACAAATACCAATTCGTTTTCTGGCACTGCTGCTTCTGTTTCTTCCTCATCCTCTAGCACTAGTTTGCAAGAACTCACCTTCATCAAGTCACTTTCTATTAATTCCTCTGGTGTGGTGTCTGTTAGCTCTTGAATTTCTCCAAGATTCGTATCTTGAAATCCTTCATCCCCATCCCTCACTGGTTTTTGCTATATCCATAATCTCTTTCATGATCACCTGGGTTGGTGCCTGTGAAGTCATGCACAATATCTGGACCCAGTTTTCTCCAGCAGGAATTTGTTGTTTCAGCCTTGATGGGTTTTGTGGCTTTACTGTATCAACGATGGCATTGCAGTGGTATAATTCTTTGAGACTTTCATGACATTCTCTCCATCCGGGTTGTTCTGTGAAAAGGTCACATATGCAAAGTGACCCCCAAATGCTCAAGGAGCTGAAAAACCAAAGAAGGAAGCAGAAAATCCAGTTTGTTAGTAAAGGCTGCTTTATTGGAGAACTTAGAGAGACAGCGTGGTCTTGGGCAGTGGCAAGACTGGCAGATCTCAACACTGTTACTCCAGAGACCC